TTCCTGGGGAGGGAAGAAGAGAAGAGACCTTCAAAGAGGGGTAGAAAGGGAAGGCCCCTCTGCGGTGGCACGTGGTCTAAGCCCTGGGGAAGAAGGAGCCGGCCATGAGCAAAGCCTAGGGAAAGAGCTAAAATGAAAGTTCAATGAGAAAAGACATTTTCATCACTCCTCTTCACCACTCTAGCCCCAGACCCTAGAAAATGCCTGGCACGCAGCAGGCACACTACTGAGTCGTGCTCAGTAACAATGTTAGAGGGAATGCATAAAGAGTATTTCTGGCAGAGGCACAACCGATGTAAAGGTCCTGGTTTAGGTAAGCACCACCCTGGCATGTCCACAAAGAACCGAAGGGAGGCCAGCAGGGCTGTAAGTGGAGACAGTGTGACTGGAGCGTGCTGGGTGGGCGGTAGGGGATAAGGTGGGAGAGGGAGAGGGGACCGGAGGACAGAGGACTGTGTCAGCCATAGTTTAAATGCTAGGTTTTTCTCTTCTTTCAGAGACGCCACCAAAGGGTTTTAGCAGATAGTGATATGATCTGATTTATTTCACTAAAAGACCACTCTGGCTGCTGTCAAGAGAGGATATTTTAGGGAAGCAAGGACGGAATCAGGGAGACCTTCTGAGGAGCCAATGTATCAACTGAAGCAAGAGGTGCGCCAGAGGCTTCAAGGCCAACAGTGGACTTGCTGACGGGCTGCGGAATGGAGAACTGTGCAGTAATTTGTAGCTTTCTACTTTAGCAAGCAATAGACAGTTGTGCTATTTACTGAGACGCGGACAAAGGAACAGGCTGGGGAGAAGGAGAATAAGAACCAAGAGTTCTGTTCTGAACTGGCTGGCCTGACATGTCTTGGGTGAGAATGCCAGCTAGGAAAGCTGGTCACATGAGGCTATAACTTCGAGGAGGTGGTCTGTGACAGGGCTATAAATGTGCAAGTCATCTACAGGAAGACAGTATCCAAAGCCAAGGGGACAAGATGAAATAATAAGTGATGGGTCTTTGTTGGGTAGTAACAACCATGTAATCGATCAGGTTTCTCTTCTGGCTGGGTTGCCAGGAAGTTCCAAACACAACATAAATCTTAGGGGAAAATTATCTTCTTAGAGATTCTAGATATGATAATCTACCCCTTTTACTTTTCTTCTTCTTTATGGTGTCTAGTCTTCTTTCATGCAAACTCTCGGTCTATATACTCTGAGAAAGGAGAAACAGAAGAAATGAGGTAGTGTAGTGACATGATTAGGGAAGTCAGAGGGACTGGCACCCACATTACCTTGAGAAGTCTCCAATTACAGAAATATTACCTTAAAGTTATCTGGTGCCCTGTGCCTCTCTCAACGACTCCAAGCTCCTCAAAAGCATGAACCCTCTTAATCATCTTCGCATTGCTGTGAAGGGACCAATGTCCAGCTCAGGAGTACACAGGCAATACATGCATACTCCCATCTGTCACGTATCGGTAAATGCAAGGGGCTGAGGCCTTGCTCTAGTCCTCGAAAACTTAGTTCTAAATTGTTTTAAACATAGCATAGTGTGTGATTAAATACCAATAAGCAATGCACACAAATGTGAGGTAAGTTAGGGTAAATCTTCAGGGCCTGGATTGGAAGACTTCAAGGAAGAAAAAAAAACCCCAAAACTGAACCGGCTTTGGAAGATGCACAGTGTTTGGAGACGTGGAAGCATATTTCAGAAAGCAGCCAAAGAACAGAGACAGTGAGGAGCTTATTCTGGCTGGAGGGAAAGAATTTTGAAAAAGCATAGGGGGAAGGGAGCTGGAAAAAACAGTGAAGGACACAGTGTGGACATCCACCTCATATTTGAGACTTCCAGGGAAGTTATAAATTTCTAAGAATTTCTAAGAGATGTTTAAGGAAGATCACACAAATTCAATGTGTAGAATGGATAGGTAAGCAGAGAAACTGTCAGGACTTAGTCTAGGCATAAGTTAATAAGAATCTCATAAAAAGGAGACCGCAGGTTCCAAAAAGTCAGAGTCCACCAAAACTTAGTGAATGATGTGATATGGACAGACAGAAAGAGATCATGAGATTATCATCCAGGGCTTGAGACCCACCGGGTCAGATCAGTAGTATGGTTAACAGAAATGGAGGCAGCAGGAGGAAGTGATTTTAGAAAAAGGTAATAACTTTAATTGTAGGTAGGGTAAGTTTCAGAGGACAGTGGCCACTCCCTGTGTTCAGGCTCCCCGCCCCTCGCAGCACAATATGTATGCAACCTGCTCAAGTCCTTGCAGAGAAAAATCTTCCTAAGTAGTATTCTCACATAAACACAATAGAGAAGGTCTTCCCATAGATTACAATCTCTCCATGGCTGCAAAAGCAAACTTGAATGGATAAAAGCATAAACACAAAAATGAAAGAGGTGGCCCAAATGGTCTACTTCTACAAAGCACTGTGAGTTCACATTCAGATGTTTAAAAAAATATACTACTATGTGAAAAGATGCTCAACATTGTTGAGCCATGAGAGAACTGCAAATTAAAACCACAATGAGATACTGGTACACAACTATTACAGTAGCTAACAACATTTCTTTAATCTAATGACATAACAAATGATGACAGGGTGGCAGAGCACCTGGAACTCTCATACAATGCTGCAGAAGGGGACAACCACTTTGGAAAACAGTCTGAGAGCTGAACTTATTTATTAAATGTATACTTTCCCTATGACCTCACTTCTAGGTACCTATCCAAGAGAAACAAAAACATATGTCCCCATACAAATACCCATATGCAAATTTGTAGCAGCTTTATTCATAACCATCAAAAACTGGAAACTCAAATGTATATCAACTAGTGAAGGGATGAACACACTGCAGTACCTCCATACAATGGGATAGTACTCAGTGACAAAAAGGAACAAACTACTGGGACATGCAAAAATATGAATGAATCTCATAAGCACATTAAGTGAAATAAGCCAGGCACAAAATGCTACATGGTGTACAATTCTATTTATAGGATATTCTGGAAAAGGGAAAACTAAATATTCTGTATTTTTGTAATGGTGGTAATGATAAACATTTGTCAAAAGTCATAAAAGTGTACATTCACAAAGGGTGAATGTTCCTGTATCAAAATTACTCCATACACCTGACTTAAAAAAAAACCAAAACTATAGCATTTTAGCATTCGCTCAAAGACAACTGTTAAAGCATACTATTATTATGATTACTCTGAAAAATTCTAGACACTTCTTAACTAGCTAGAATACTACAAATGTCCTTAATGCTGACAAGAAACAAACCCGACACTTTTTCCCTCTTCAGGCCTCAAAACATTCCTATGCAAAGACAGAGTGTAAGGATGTTAGCGAGTGTGCAGAAGCTGCGTGAATGCTGGTTATTGAGACACTAATAAAGTGAGTCTTGTTTGCTGGACAGCTGTTGGCTCCATTGTTCTTTGGTCACACATAGAAAAGGAAAGCTGTTATGCTCATGGAATGTGACCTTCTCACTGGAGAGCTGTTACATCATGCCCAGAAACACTGCCCAAGAAATCCATTCTCACCATGCACCATGAAGAAAATGGTGAAAACAAAAACAACAACAATGAAAAACCCAAGAAACTATATGTAAAGCCCATCGATAAAATAAGCTGTACTACTTAAAATCAGATCAATTGTAAGAAACATTTGTCGATATGGAATATTCTGGTTTCTTTTGAGTAATGTTTTGTCTCATCTTACTACCCTTAGCATAGAACTTCCAAGTCCAAATATTTTTTTTTTTTTTAACTTTTCAAAAGACATTTTGTATGACCAGGCTTTGATTACTAATTGCATACAATTATGAGAGTAATTACTTTTTGTATTATCAAATGCCTACCTAGGTACTTTGCCATTTTACAGTTGGGGCATTTATAAACCACTTTTACTTGGACAAGGTGTTCCATTTCTTTGATCATCATGCACAGTGACAGACACGTTACACGGCAACCCAGTACAGAGACGCATGTGTACCTGTGCAAGCAACACTGAGATTGTACAAAGACCTGTCCTTACCTTGTAAGATGTTCTCTATTATCTCCTTTTGCATTAGTCTTTAAAATGCTGCCAAATACCTACACAATCCATATCATGACCTACCATTTTCAAAACCACTGCCCCAGAAAATTTTAAAAAAGAAAACATTTCATCATGTTTTAAACACAGGCTTTTAAAAATTCATTTAGTTATTTGTTTTGAAGCATACGAGTGACCTTCCCTAAGGCTGACTCACAAGTCATCACACTCTGTTCCCCCCTGGGGATTCCCACGCCTGGCTGGGGTGAGCAGCAGACATGGAAGGGATGGTCAGAGCCCACGGCCCCTCTGCTCCCTTAGCGGCCAGCCACTATATGTGGGTGGGGGAGGCCTCGGCCAATGTAGGCCTACAAACACGCGGGGGGCCTTGCTTGCTTTCCATTCACACACATTCTTATTCCTTAACCTCTATACACACGTACACACGCACAGAATGAAATAAAATTCAACCAGGAAGAAAAAGAGTTGCAGGAGAGAAGAAAGTTAAGTTTTTCCTTAACATTCGTGGATTTCAGTCATGCCTACTAAGCTTAGTTTCCAGCACCACGGATATCAGAACAAGTTTAAAAGACTGAACTGGCATGCAAATCACATGCAGAAAGTATTTTCAACTATCAACAATTCTGAGTTTTTAAACTGCTAGTCAAGGGTGCCTGGGTGGCTCAGTTGTTAAGCGTCCGCCTTCGGCTCAGGTCATGATCCCAGGGTCCTGGGATCAAGTCCTGCATCGGGCTCCCTGCTCAGCGGGGGAGTCTGCTTCTCCCTCTGCCTCTGCCCATGATCTCTCTCTCATGCTCTCTCTCAAATAAATAAATAAAAATCCTAAAAAAAAATTAAAAAAAAAAATAAATCAACTGCTAGTCAATATTATATTCTGCTATTCCACACTGAAAATGGTGGTCATTTGTGATAACTACAGAGAAATTTTACATGAAGATTGGAAAACTTACTTTTAAGGACTCCCACAAGGGAAATTGGACCAATGAGAAAGGAATCTGAAAAGAAAAAAAAAATCAAATAAATTAGGCAGGAAAGATCAGAGTTTGCAACTAGGACTACTATCATGAACCTATAATTATTATTTAGAAACCTTTGTTTTGACTTCATGTATATAATAAAGCTAACATTAAATTTATAGGTAGGGTAGACATAATTTTCAGAAAAAAAGTTAAGCCGCAACTGCCTGTAGAATTCTACTAACTTTCTGAGCCCAAGGGACATAAAATGATGGTGTGAAGCCCTTTTGAAACAGAAAGAGAAGCACAATACAGAGATCTGGCTACCGAAATGACAAAATATTTCCTATCACAAGCAATAAAGACTTTAAAGACTTGACATTTTTCTGCTGAAGAGCTGTCTACTCCTTAGCAGGCCAAGTGTTAGAGTTTAAAACAGAAACGGGGAGGAGGAGGGAGATGAAGGGGGAGAGGGAGGGAGAGGGGTCGAGTGAGGGGCAGGAGGAGAAAGTGGGGGGAGCAGGAAGAGGGAGAGGAGGAGGGGAGGGGAGGGAAGGGAAGGAAAGAAGAGAAGGGAGCGCAGAGGAGTGGAAAGAAGAAAAGGAGAGGCAGAGAGGGAGAGAAGGGCAGAGAGGAGGGGGGAGCGGGAGAGGAGTAAGGAAGGGGTACACAGGGGAGGCCCGGGGAGGGATGGAGCAGGCAAGAAAGAGAAAAGAGGACACACACAGAGCCACTTACAAGAGGAGGCTGAGAAATGGGGACAGAGAAATAGAAGACCAGTGCGGGCGGTGGAAAAGGAGGGCAAGAGCGAAAGCGGGCCTGTAGGCAGGCTGGTTCCCGGGGTAGGCTAGGAGAGGGGTCATCTGCAGTAGCCAAATGGGATGCTGAAGACAACTGGCACACTCAGGGCAGAGTATCTGCTGTCAGTTGGTTAACAGCAAGAGCTAGAATTACCAAGCACTTCTCATATATCAGGCACTGTGCTAATGAGCACTTCCTGAGCTTTATTTCATTCCTCTCAACAACCCTGTACAACAGTTAGGTATGACTACTGTCTCCATGTTACAGATGAAGACGAGGTGCAGGGACGCTGTGTAACTTGACTAAAGAAACCCTGTGAAGCCCAGACAACCTGACTCCAGAGCCTGTCTACTACTCTACCTGGAAGACATCTAAGTGCATTTATCTGAACGTAAATTCACCCCCAGTAGAATCTATTTGCTTTCCATGACATCTTCTAAAATTTGAAAACGGAACCACACCTCCCTATTTCCTAAGACAAAAATGCCTGAACTCCAGTCACCACCACCCACTCGCCTCTGTGACATCCAGTCACTGCCAGAAGGGCTGTGCTGGGGTGATGCAGCTATGAGCAGGCCTCGGTCCCAGCCCTGTTCTCTGTCGTCAGCTGCCAGGAAAGAGTAAAACATGGACTTTGAACATTATCGATATGCATATGGGTGTGTGAGTGCTTGAAATGTGTGTGTGCGAGAGACCATGGTTTTGAAGGCATTAGTGGATATTTACCTTCACATGAATCAAGGGCATCAAATTACTTCTGAAGTACTTATACTGAATCACAGTATAAGTACTGAATTAAAAGTCTAGCATCATCTGTCTTACTCTGCTGGAGCAAATGATGGTCCTGAGTTTGGCAGTGGACACAGAGAAAAAAAACAAACCTGTCTTTCCTTCAGGCAGGAATTGGCAGTAAGGGAAAAACAATCGATGACAACAGCCTAGTTTAGGCTGACAAAGTGGGATCTCAGAGAGGTTTGCTGTCTTTACAGTAGGCAGCACCCCACCCTGTATGCAAAATTCCACAACAGGAGTGAGATTTAGTTTAGCGTTTTTGTCACCAAAATGTGAAAGCTTCTGATGGAAAGTCCATTCTGAAACTAAAGTTCAATTAAATTAACTATCTAAATCCCCCCAAACTGACAGTATAATAGTTTTCTAAAAGGTTTTCTAAATTTCAAAAAAAAAAAAAATGTATAGTATGTAATAAAATATCCAAGAGGACTAATAGGTACTAGGATTATAGATGACTTTCATTTTCTTCTTCGTACTCTCCCCTCCCAGATGTAAATTTATCACATTTTAACAAGAATGTAAATATTTCATATTTATAAGATGAAAAAAGGCCTTTAGCTTATTGTAATGATTCATGGTCTTTACTTCTTGATTAAAATAACCTGGGGCGGGGCACCTGGGTGGCTCAGTTGTGAAGCATCTGCCTTCAGCTCAGGTCATGATCTCAGGGTCCTGGGATTGAGCCCCACATCGGGCTTCCTGCTCCGTGGGAAGCCTGCTTCTCCCTCTCCCATTCCCCCTGCTTGTGTTCCCTCTTTCGCTGTGTCTCTGTCAAATAAATAAATAAAATATTTTTTAAAAATAAAAAATAAAATAACCTGGGGCGCCTCAGTGGCACAGTCAGTTAAGCATCCGACTCTTGGTTTCAGCTCAGGTCATGATCTCAGGGTCCTGGGATCCAGTCCCGCATCAGGGTCCACACTCAGCAGGGAGTCTGCTTGAGATTCTCTCTCCCTTTCCCTCTGCCCCACCATCCCTGCCCCAGGTGGCACGCACTCGCTCTCTTTCTCTCTCAAATAAATAAATCTTTAAATATAAATAAATATAAATAACCTGTAAAACTTCATGTTATCTGCACTTCTTTAGTACTTAATAATATTAGATTTTGAATCTTGTAGATGGACATTTTGCCCATTTTCCTCTATTAAAAGCTATTCTTTAAATTGTTCCTTCAAATTTAAAGAAGTAATTTAAAAATCACAGTTGGAATGGCCAAACTATTCCACAGGGTATTTATCTTAAAAAGTGAGCTGACAGTAAATCCCAACTTTACTCTCTAAAACGAGATTGACAGTCTAAGGTAATTAAATGCACTGTAAATGCTTAAAATAATGAAATTTGATTCTGGTTTCTGGTAGTGAAATATCCCTTATAAGATAAACTCCTGATGTGTAAAAATTTTTCAAATATTCTTCAAGTCAAAATCCTATCGAATGCTTTTTGTCATTTACAAGATGAAGAAACAATAATGAAAACGTGTTCCACACATGTGGAAGGAGTACTGCCAGCAAATATGGCTCCACAGCTAAAACAAACACTTCTCCCACCTTCTACAGAACATGGGCCCGTCAAAGAACTAGCTCCCGCCCCATGTCTGGTTCGGAGTTACATAACAGTGATGTTTCTTCAAAACGTGGAATTTTAAACCCCAAACAGATGTAAGCTGTTATTCTAAAATGTTTTATAGATGAAGAAAATGAATAGCTGCACTCAGAGGTCTTATATTCCAAAACACAACATACTCCTTTTATTGCACCAAAAGTTACAAAATGGCTCCCTGTTGTGACCTTTTTAATGCCTCCATTTAAGATGTTTTGTTTGAATAAGGTTGTTACGACGCAGGGCACTAATAAGTGAGCAGCAGTAAACCCAGCTACCATCAAAGAGGCAGATGCAGAAGGGAAAAAACCTGCTAAAATTCAACATGGATTCCACTTAGTAATAAACATAGCAATAATGCTGTGTAAGAGTGCATGTGAGGATTCCATGCGAAGTAGATAAAATTAAATATAGGCGTGGTGAGAAGAGGAATGAGTGCTGGGCATTACTAATGAAATGAAGAATTTACAAAATTACATTACGAACATGCTTTACCTCTCATTAACTATTGGACCAGACGCATCACTAAAGCCAATCAATGCTTTTAACTCAGTGATCTTTTGTTTTTTAACCCAGTGATCTTAAAAGAAGTGTCCATAACCTTACAGTCCTTAAAAAATAATGAAGTGATTTATAACAAACCAAGGGGATATACAGATATGATTTCTAAGGTATTACTTATCTGCAAAATTCTCTTTTTCAATGGAAAAATCACATTAGAATAGCAACACTTTAAAAATAAGACTTGACTAGAAGCCGCAATGAACACAATACCACCATGAATGCCCTAGGAAGCATAAGAACAAGAAAGTGTATTTTAAAAGCTGGAAACCTATTGTACCTTGGCAGAAATAACCCAAAATTCTCTAGCAATAAAAACAAAACAAAAAAAAAAAACAAAAAAAAAACAAAAAAACGGAAACTTTTTGCTAAGACCTCAAATTAGAAAGGGTTTGAAGTACAGCATGGGATTGGTCGGCCTGTCATGGATATCCCACTGGCTCCAAGAACTGGCCCGTTCCAATTTTCAAGGGATCCTACAAGTGACCCACGGAGACGTCTCCTTTTTGTTGCATGACAGTGTCCAAATTTCTGTGATTGACTGAGGGTTTTCCACTTTATTGTTACATCAGTAACAAAGCCGTTCTCCTCTTAAATATGCTATACCTTTTCCCCTTCAATCCCAGGGGTAACAAATGACAAATCAAGTTGAAAACCTAAAAACCTTGTGCCCCTAAGTGACTATTGTTCCAAAATTTAAAATTAAACAAAAAAAGTGAGAGCCAAAGTTGGTCTGCTAGCATTTGACAGGACAGAAAAGAATTCCAATAGTCAATATACACTGATTTTTCAACTGAACCACCATAATCCATTTACATGCACTGTACAAAGAGAATAGAACATCTACCTAATAAAGGAAATTAACCTAAAAGTAGGAAAAATTTACAGTGAATTAATTATTCCTCAGGTTTATAAGAGGTATTAAAAAGTCCTAAAGTATCTTTCCCAAAAAAAGCACAAAACAGACAAAAGAGTATCAAAATCTAATACAGAAAAGGAAATGTGTAAGTGGTCTGACTCTTAAGCAAATCTTTTAGAACTCAGCCAGGAGCTCTGAGGATATCGCCAATCACTAACTCCGTGTGCTAGGCACAAGTCCTTAATAAATGTTAGCACGGAGGTAATGATTCAGTTTTCTTTCTCTGCATTCTACAGAATCATCACAGTAATGGTGTCTGGGTGGAAGGCACTCCCAGGATCTCAGTGTACATGTGACTGTGCCAGTCACATAGTACCAATTATGTAGCAAAGATAACAGCAATGTCAAATTAGTCCACGGTCCACTA